TTCTAATGAGTCAGAGATCCTTTATTTAAAAGGCACAGTTTACAGCATCTGCTAAAAGAAAAAGAAGCTGGTTTTCTTCAGGCTTAAAGTGGGCTATGATACAGAAACCAGACAAAGCTCCTGAGATGGTGGAGATCTAACAGCTTCTCCCTATCTTTATCACAGCTCCAAGATGTTCAGCTACCTATGAACCAGTACATAGTTATTGGCAAGAAGGACATCTTTGTCATCAAGAACTGCTCACAGACCAATCAGCTACTTATTGCTGGATGAATTTCTAGTTGTACACAGCTTGTCTGCACCTTCTTCCACTACTGCTGTACCAGCAGCTATGTAAGCAGTGCTTACAATGAGTATAGTGTAAAAGCTACTGTAATCCTCCAACAACCCTTGAATTTAAAATAGTTCTTTTCCCATTTCAGCCCACAATGAAAAATGCAGAAAAATAAGAAAAAAACAGTCCTTACAGTTTGATGATTTTCTGAACAGACTTTGGTTGAATGGATCATTCATTCCATTGTTTTAGGGATTCTGCAAACACTCACCTCACTTCAAAGCAATTCATTGGAGATGTTTGTGAGCATGTGGTCTAGTGCTTCGTCAATGCATTCTTCTTTATTCCCAACCTGGCCCTATTTTAGTCAAGAACACATTTGGGGAGATCCTTCCTTCCTTTTCAGGGCCTGATCCGATTGCTACCCTGTGCTGTATCCTTGCATTGAATTACAGTAAAGACCCGTCATTCATAAATTCGTGTATATTTTTTATTCTTCTTGGGATGGACGGCGTCATTGGCCAGGCCAGCATTTATTACCCATTCCTAATTGCCCACAGGGCAGTTAAGTGTCAACCACATTGTTGTGGGTCTGCAGTCTCATGTAGGCCAGACCAGATAACGTTGGCAGTTTTCTTCCCTAAAGGACATTAGTGGGCCAGTTAGATTTTTCCGACAATTGCCAACGATTTCATGGCCATCATTAGAATTGTAATTCCAGATATTTATTGAATTCAAATTCCACCATTGCCATAGCAGGATTCAAACCTAGGTCCCTCGATCATTACCAGGGTCTTTGGATTAATAGTCTAGTGATGATTACAATAAACCATCACCTCCCCTTGAATAAAATTAATCATCTAGTGGAAACATTATGTGCGCCATTTCACCCATTGCGGTGACAAAATGGATGTTCTTTCAACAAAAGAAGCACTTAAATAAATGTAAAAAGTAAGATCTGATGGATTTGCATGAAGTATTTCCTGGACTAGAAAATGCACACTGTGCAAGTCATCCACAGTGTTGCTTACTGGAAGTGTAAAAACGTGGGTGTTCAGTTTGTAATATTATAAATAAGTATGACATTTTATATATATATATAGATTCATTGAGCAATAGAGCATGGTCCATGCCGACCATAATCCCAAACTAAACTAATTCCACCTCCCTGCGCTTGACACATATCCCTCCAAATATTTCTTATTAATGTACGTACCTGTTAAACTTTTAAACTTTGTAACTGTACTCGCATCCACTGGAAGCTCATTCCACACACAAACTTGCCTCTCATGTCTTCTTAAAATCTTTCTCTCACCTTAAAAATATTCCACTTAGTCTTGAAATCTTCCACTCTAGGGAATATACACCTGCCATTCACCTTATCTGTACCCCTGATGATTTTATAAACCTCTGAGGTCACCGCTGAACCTCCTACACTTCATTGAAAAAAGTCCCAGCTTATCCAGCCTTTCCCCATAACTCAAACCCGGCAACACCCGGGTAAATCTCTTCTGGACTCTCCCCAGCTTAATAATATCCTTCCTATAACAGGGCAACCAGAACTGGACACAGTACTCCAGAAGAGGCCTCCCAAATATCTGTACAATCTCAACTCCGCTACTCAAAGATTTGATCAATGAAGGCAAGCATGATAAATGCCTTCTTAACTACCCTATCTATATGTGATGCAAATTTCAAAGAATTATGTACCCAAACCCCCAGGTGTCTGTGTTCTACAACACTACCCGAGGTGCTACTTTCAATTGCATAAGTCCTGCCCATGTTTGTTTTACTTTTATTTTGTTAGATTTTTTTTTTAGTAGGATTTTAAAAATTTTAAAAACACGGTTTTTCTTAAATATATAATGATATTTTTTGATGGCTGGAACCTGTCTAATTGACTCTCATTATAAAATATGTTTGCCATTTGGGAATTTGCCCGTTGAGAGATTTTCTAAGAATGTAACTCTCCTTGAGCTGTAAGACTCTATTGTACTCTTCCTTATCCCATTCACTCCCTCGTTCTGTGTCCTTGTCTGTGTTACTCTTCCCTATCCCACTCACTGTCCTGCTTTGCTCTTCAGAGACAATGCAGACTCACCGGCGAAAGCCAAGACATCTGGCAAGAGGAAAGTCAAGAAGCGCACAATAGCAGAAACATCGAATGTCATCACAGAAACCCTGCCATCCATCCAAGAAACGGATACCGTAGAAATTGACCAGGAGAATGTTTTTGCTGCAGAGATCGTGGAGATCAACGCAGAAGAGATGGAAGAGGAGGCTAGGGCTACTGTGATGGAAGCAGTGGAGAACCTGCCAACAGCAGATGAGTCGGCACAGCCGTCTGGTGATGTGGCAGGCTCGGAACAACCGGCCGAATCAGCACTTGCTCTGCTCGCCGATATCACCAGCAAATACCAACAGGATGAGCTGGACAAGGAGCTGGAGAAGGAAGGGGAACGGGAGTCTGCCGGCCAGTCCCAAGAGGAGTCCGAAACATCCATTGTAACGGAGGATGGGATCCACATCGTGGAAGTGCTAGCACAGGGTGACAAACTGTTCTGTTGTGAGAAATGCAGCCGCTCCTTCAGACTCTTTTATCACTTCAAGGAGCACCTGAAGGTGCACTCGGGGGAGAACTACGTATGTCACCTTTGCAGCAAACAGTACACACGGGAGAGTGCCTGGAAGCAGCACCTCTCCTCTCACCGCGAAGAAGAAGGTGGGAACAAGAAGCCAAGGTGTGTTCGCAAAGTGCATGTGTGTCAGTACTGTGAGAAACAGTTTGACCACTTTGGACATTTTAAAGAACATCTTCGAAAGCACACGGGTAAGAAGTGTCATCAATACTGTGCCTTTGCCCTCCAAGATCTTACTTTTATCCTCAAATCATTGAATGATACAAGACAGAAGGTGGCCATTGGGCTCATTGTGTCGGTGCTGGCTCTTTGAAATATTTGTCCCGGTGCCCTCTCCTGAAAATTCTTCTAATTTGAGTATTTATCCATTTCTGTTTTGAAACTTATTATCAAGTCTGCTTCCACTGTATTTTCAGATCCTAACAATCAATAAAAATGATATCAAATGATATTAAATCTGTCCCCTCCTTGCTGATTCTGCTGCTGGTGGAAACAGTTTGTTTATTTGCTCGATCAGTTACTCCTCATCCCTGTCGTAAATGGGTAATCCTTTATTTTCTAACTGTGAACTCTATTCCTAAAATTTCTCAGAAGAAGAAACAACCTTTCCACATCCTGATTAGTAAGGGGATTGAAGGTTACTGGGAGAAGGCAGGAGAATGGGGCTGAGAAACATATTTGCCATGATCAAATGGTAGAGCAGACTAAATGGGCTGAATGACCAAATTCTGCTCCTGTATCTTATAGTCACATGCAACCTATCATTTATTATTTTACTTGGAGGATAGCAAAGTAACTGCCTGGTATCATTCTGGTTTCTGGATAGGAGAACATGGTATTTGGATTGTTTCATTTCACTGATGTGTCCAAAGTCTTGGAGCATTGAATGGTGAAATCTACTCTTTTACTTCCTCAGGTGAGAAGCCCTTCGAGTGTCCAAACTGTCATGAGCGATTTGCCAGGAACAGCACACTGAAATGTCACCTGGTGGCCTGCCGAACGGGTATGGGTGCAAAGAAAGGAAGGAAGAAGATGTACGAGTGTCAGGTACAGAGCACTGAGCAGTACAGAGTACTGAGCAACACAGGCCACCCATTTCCCAAAGGCCCGCAGAGACACAGCAGCTTGCATTCCTACAGCCCCTTGTGGGTAACAAAACATCTCGAAGTGCTTCTTGGGGATGTTACAAAACAAGATATACAGTATATGGTGAAATTAGGATAGAAGGCCAAAAGCTTGGCCACATTTTCCGGAGACTCTTATAGAAAGGTATGATAGGTGGAGAGGTTGAGGGCTTTGAATTCTGACCCTAGTGCTCAGTCAAATGTAGGCTTGGCTATCAATGCTGGAGGAGTTCAAATTAGATACAACAGAGATCAGAATGACCAGGAACCAGAACCAGAGAAACATTACGATCTGTTCGAGCGAGGGAAAGAGACAGCGTTGGAGGGGTGAGTCTATAGACAGAATTGGAAACAACGATGAAGCGTGTTAGGTGTTACTTCTAATTATATGCCATGATGGGTCATGAATTTTGGGAAATTATTGATTGCGCTTTTAAACATACTCTATAGCCAATGTCATGCGTTGCAAAATTAGACATTTTGTTATTGTATGACAGCTGCAGGTTCACAAAGCAGGGCAATATTCTACAGCAGATTAAACCATGATGTCCCAATGCATTTCTGAACCAGGTTTGCTTCTGTTTTTTATGTTTGGGCAGTGATGAGGCCACGTAGGCAAGAGTCGTTTCCAAGATAACGCTTAGGTATTCTGGTTTGGGGGGTGACACTGCTAACTCCACTTGTTATTTTCAATCCCAGGTTTGCTCCAGCGTCTTCCCCAGCTGGGACCAGTTTAAGAATCACCTGGCAGTGCACACAGGCGAGAAACCCAATCACTGCACCATTTGCGACATGTGGTTCATGCGGGCTAGCGAGCTGCGGCAACATGTCAAGGATGTCCATGGAGCTGCTGAGCAGGAAGTGGGTGAGGTGACGGAAATTGTGGTGCCCGTGGAGGTGATTGACACTGAGGCGATGGAGGGGGAGACTATCATTGAGCAGGTGACGGTGTAGGAGACGGCCATGAGAGTGGGGGAGGAAGGGTTTGACACCCAGATCGAATTCTTCCACGCCCAACCAACCAGGCTCAGTGTAAGCGAGTGTGAGGAGAAGTTACCAACCTGCAGTGGGTAGAAGTGGGGTTATCAGCGGGGCAGTTCAAAGCCGCTGACACCAGCTTTGATGACAACTAGCAGTACTCTTGCCAGCGCGGGGACTACTCAGTGGCTGCATTTCCACCGTTGTCGGAATACAAGTGGCAACCAAATTCTTTTTGCCACCTGACTGGAAAGAACTGCGGTGCAAGACTGTGTAAATGAAATCTTCTTGTCTGAGCTCGTTTGGACTTCCACAGCTGTTGAGGTGTTTGGGTTACCATCGTTCGGTCCAGGGATGTGAAGTATCTGGGTTAACAGGAACCAATAGCGATGGGAATGCTCTTGCTACCACTGGCTGAAAATCCCAGCTGACCACTTTCTGACTCGTGGCAAAGCAATATGGACACACCGCAGATTGTACACGAGGCACTCCTGCTGGAAGCACCCTATTGTGCAGTCACAGTCACATATATACTGGGAATCTTTGTTAATATTAACTTCAATCACCTGTGCTTTGTACATAGCTGGGGGTGCAGCCTGTCTGGTCTACCAGGAAGTGCTGGACCTTTTGGAATGGATTGTTGATGCAAAGCGGAGAAGACCCACTCATGCTGGGGTCATTCCAGTCACCCAGCTCACTTCTGTAAACATTCACAATGAATGCACAGCAATTAAATCCATTTACAGGCCTGTCAATAAAAAACAGTGGCTGGTTCAGTAGACAGCAGGTCTATTGTCTTTCATTCACATAATTTCACGTTGATTCCTGTTCCCTCCTCCTCTCACCTGATGGCTTAGCTGATTACTAGCTGTCCAGGAAAGTCTGTTGCTTTCAATCACAACTGGTGTAAGGAGTGTGGCTATTGCATTCTGCTTTCTCTGCATCAATAGTTTGCACTTACAAAATGCCTTTAGGAGGGAACATAACATGACATGGAATCACAAGAAGATCTTGGAGTTTATGGCTAAAAGTTTAGTCAAAGTGGTAGGTTTTGAACAAAACTATTTAAAGGAGAGAAAATTCGAGTGTCTTAAGAGGAGAAATGCAGAGCTTGGGACTAAGACAGCTGAAGGCATTCACCCGTACGCACTATAAATTAGCAAGTGTAAGGTGCCAGATGAGCAAGTCTTGGGGTGAGTTAGGTAGCAGAGTTTTAAATTTAGAATTAAAATAAGAATCAGCTTTATTGTCACATGTACTGGAATGAGTGCAGCGAAAAGTTTGTGATATCATCATTTACGGCGCCATGTTGGGTACAAGATACTTAGGTACAGATATTTAAGTATTTGGTACAAAATTGAAAGAATAATAGAACTCCAGCATAAGAATAAAATAAAAGAAATGTACTCTAATTACAGTCCTTTTCATCCAAACCTGTGCCCAGCCCCACACCCCCACCTATGTATTTCTGGGCTCCCCTCCCTCTCCCTAGTCCTGACAAAGGGTTTCGGCCCAAAAGGTTGACTTTCCTGCACCTCCGATGCTGCCTGACCTGCTGTGCTTTTCCAGCCTCAGACCTACAGACTCTAGCTTCCAGCATCTGCAGTCCTTATTGTCTCCCAGTATTCCATCACACTCCTGACTTGTGCCTTGTAGATGGCGGACAGGCTTTGGGGAGTCAGGAGTTGTGTTACTTGTAGTGGCATTCCTGGCCTCTGACCTGCTATTGTAGCCACAATATTTATATGAATGCTCCAGTTCAGTTTCTGGTCAATGGTAACTCAGGATTTTGATAATGTTGGATTCAATGATGGTAATACCATTGAATGTTAAAGGATGATGGTTAGATCCTCTCTTGTTGGATATGAATATTGCCTGGCAATTGTATGACTCAAATGTTACTTGCTAGTTATTAGCTCAAATTGGATACAGCCCCAGTCTTGCCACTTTTGGATACGAATATTGCCTGGTAATTGTGTGACTCAAATGTTACTTGCTACTTATCAGCTCAAACTGGATACAGTCCCAGTCTTGCCACTTTCGGAAATGGACTTTTTCAACATGTGATCAGCCACGAATGGTGCTGAACATAATGCAGTCATCAATGAGCATCTCCAGTTCTGACCTTTGGATAGAGGGTATGTCATCGATGAAACATGTGAAGGTGGTTGGGCTGGGGGCTCTTCCTTGAGGAACTCTTGCAGAGTTGTGCTGGACCTGAGCTGACTGATGTCCACCCAGAATTATCATCTTCCTTTGTGCAGGGTAAGACTTCAACTAATGGACGGTTTTCTCCCCGATTCACATTGACTCCAGTTTTGTCAGGCTCCATGGTATCACACCTGGACAGCTGTAGTCGTGCTGTCAAGGGCAGTCACTCTCACCTCACCTCTGGAGTTCAGCTCTTTTGTCAGTGTTTGAAATAAAGCTGTAATGAGATCAGGAGCTGAGAGGCCCAAGTGGAACTCAAATGGAGCATGATAAGGAGGCTATTGCTATACAAGTACTGCTTAATATTACTGTTGATGACCACTTTACTGATGATCGAGAATAGACTGATGGGGTGGCCCAAAGGGTCAGCAATATAAATCCCTCCCTGCTATACCATCTCTCCCTAATCCACTCTATTCTCCTTTTCCTGATCTTGCTAGGATGTGGCACTGGGAGTAATCTTGAAATTATTACCTTTAAGGTCACTCTTTTTAATTATTTCCTAGCTTCCTGTATTGTCTTGCAGGATCTCACCCCTTTCTTTCCCTATGTCATTAGTTCTGACATGGATCCCAACCTCTGGCTGTTCGCTCTCGCCTTTCAGAAGGTCCTGTGGGAACTCTGTGATATCCTTTACCTTGGCATTGAGGAGGCAGCAAATAATACTTGTGATATATCTGCACCTGCAGAAACATCCAAACGTTCTTCCTATGATAGAATCCTCTGTCAGTACTCTCCCACTCTTGTTTTTTAATCCTCCATCTCCCAGTGAGTTGTGTGCTGCAGAGTTGGCGCTCGCTGCGTTTCACTGAGAAGCCATCTTCTCCAGTCATAACCAACATGGAAAATCTATTACAGAGGGAGATGAATCCAGGGCCTCCTGCACCACCTGCCCTAGTGCTTTTACTTTGTCATTCATTTCCATTTCTGCCTTTGCACTCTTTACCTGCAGAGTGGCCATCTCACTGTGTGATAATCTCAACAGTGCAAATGCGACACAGTGATTCCAGCTGATGTTCCAGATCGAAATGAAGATTTCTCGTAATTATAACTGAAGACACTTTCTGCACGCCTAGTCACCCTGGACATTGGAAGTATCCCTGATTTACCACACTGCACAGGAGACGTGGCTAAGCTGCCCTGCCATAGCCTACCCTTAAATTAGTCACTATACATTTATTTACTTAAAAGAATATTAAATGTGTACAGGTGTGCATTGATCCCCACTCTCCATACAGTTGGGGTATTGATCCCCGGTCTTTATACAAGTCTGAATGCAAGGCATGTTGACCAGGGAGCGCATCTCAGTATTGGCAACCTGATCTTGCCATCCAATCTAGAGCTGAGTGTACAAGCAAGACATGTGAAAGTGGTGTAGCTTCTCTGCATAAACTATCTGTTTCACAAGCACAAGACTGAGAACAACTGGTCTGTAAAACCTCAATTTTATTGGGAGACCAGAACTTCTTCACTCTCAGACCATTTTTTTTGTAACTTTCCAAAGCCAACACTTGCCTTAGTTAAAATCAAATGAAGAACTGTGGATGCTGGAAATCTGAAATAAAAACAGAAATTGATGGAAACGCTCCAGGTCTGGCAGCATCTGTGGAGAGAGAGCAGAGTTAATGTAAGTGACTCTTCTTCAGAACTGATGGTAGCAAGAAAGAGGGGGTATATATGCTGAAGACTTGAGGTAGAGGGAGGGGTGGGGTAAAGGGCAAGAGATGGAAATAATCTTAGCTATGTTGGCATTGACTTAATCGTCAATATGATCTAATGTGGAGAGAGTGCTGCTAAATTTAGTATAGCTGCTGATCACTTCCTGTACTATTTTGCTTCACTTTTTTTTGTAGGGCTGTGGTTTGAGTTCATTCACTTTGATGTTGGTGGTGGCACTGACTTTTATCACAGGCCAAGGAAACGGTCCAAACAGGCACTTCTGGCACTGTTGTCATGAATAGGAAGCCACAAATCACACATTTGCACACTTTGATTTTAGTTTGTAGTCTTATCAACTTGAAGACTTTGTACGATAAGTAATTTTTTATTCATTCAGGGAATATTGTTAACGTTGGCTGGGCTAGCTTTTATAGTTGGCCTACAGAACCTGCCTTCTTGAACTGCCTCAGTCCGTGTGCTGGAGGCAGACCCGCAAGGTCGCTAGGGAAGGAATTCTAACACTGAATGCTCTAGAAGACATATGTTATGACATAACTAGGAAGAATATGCTAATAATGGAAACTCTGTATTCTTCAAGTTGAGAATTACTTCATTTAAACCTCCAAAGTTGCTTGACTGACTGCTTTTTGGGACGAGAGCAAATCACGCCGGAAGCTAAATTTTAGCAGAAATTGGCTGTGTCATTTTAATGAGCGTCATGGTGGGGGCCCTCTCTCCATTACAACCTAGCGTGTTTTCTCATGCTATTTCCCAGACTTGCTTGATTACCTATGCACCATGTCCCTGTGCTCTTCTTGTATTCTCCCATTTGCTGCAGGTGGAAGTACTCAGCACTGGTGCAACATCCTGATATTCCTACCAGCAATACCATATTTAAAAGGCTGTTTTGTACTAGATTAAATTCTTCAGTTCAGAGCTGCCCTGCATGGTTCCTGTCATTGGCCTAGACATGGCAAGCAAAGGAAAATCGGCATCCCGCTTTGGGGACAGGTACCTGAAGGTCCTGGTGAACGGATTCTGTCTCTCTCTCTCTCCGTCCCACCTGCCTCTGTTAATATATCTTATTTCAGGGACTGGACATCAATACTGTGTCAGTCACCTGTCTAAATCCTCTTGGCCAATGTCCATGGGCTGCTATTCATGATGCCAGAATGACTACTGTCCCCTTACACACCTCACCTCTATTTAGGTTAGTTTTCATTCCCAGGATAAATCAAACTGAGGCAGATTGGTGAGGATGAGGTTAAGTTTTTTTTTCCACTTGTTGGTTCCCTCACCACCTGCTACATACCCAGTCTGGCAGCTATGTCCTTTATGATTTGACCAGTTTGCTCACTAGCGACGCTGCCGAGCCACACTTGGTGCTGAACATTTATTAGGGAGGTGCCTTCGGTACATGCTAAAGTATGTGGTATCCCTGTTGTACTCACATTTTCTGTGGTGGGTTTAGTTTGTATTTGCCTCATAGAAACAACAATTACACATCATTCAATAAATCTGAGACAACAAGGTGCAGGGCTGGATGAACACAGCAGGCCAAGCAGCATCATAGGAGCAGAGAGGCTGACGTTTTGCAGGAACAGCAACTCATATTCCGCTTGGGAACCCTGCAGCCCAATGGTATCAATGTGGATTTCACAAGTTTCAAAATCTCCCCTCCCCCCACCGCATCCCAAAACCAGTCCAGCTCGTCCCTGCCTCCCTAACCTGTTCTTCCTCCCCCCTATCCCCTCCTCCCACCTCAAGCCGCACCTCCATCTCCTACCGACCAACCTCATCCCGCCCCCTTGACCTGTCCGTCCTCCCTGGACTGACCTATCCCCTTCCTAACTCCCTACCTACACTCACCTTTCCTGGCCCCATCCCCGCCTCTTCGACCTGTTTGTTTCCGCTCCACCTATCCTCTCCTCTATCCCTCTTCTATCCGCCTCCCACTCTCTCCCTATTTATTTCAAAACCCCCTTCCCCTCCCCCTTTTCTGATGAAGGGTCTAGGCCCGAAACGTCAGCCTCTCTGCTCC